TACAGATGTGTTAAAAATCAGCCCTGTTGTCATGGTTGCAGTCCAAACAAACGCCACTTTTCCACTACTGAGCCAAATGGTTCTCAGGGCTGTACTGGGCCGTTCCGCACTGGTCTGGACTCATGAGACCAGTTACGGTTTCTGTTTCCATCTGTTGTACTGCTAAATCAGAACCAGGAAATACAAAAGAAAACTACACAAACGAATGGCTAACTGCTAACAGGCTAATAGCAACACACACGGCACCCACCATAAACACGTTTGATTCCATCCGTCACTCCAACTCCGGTCTCTCATCTTGTTCATCCCCTATACTGGTGTTATTTGAGCATCTGTTACTGAAACAGACACTACTGCGGTGGGTTTTACCTGTAGCCAGATAACTACATTAGCATTAGCGTTGCCAGGCAGGGTACAACTCAAAGCACCAACAATTCTATTTTTTTTAATCTTTTCACTTCAACACCAGTCATTTAAATTGGTGCTCTCAGATACGAGTCTTTATCCTCTAAACGGGTGTTAAGCCCGTACTGCAGTCGGAGGCACAGTGCACTCACGTTAGCTTAGCCTAGCAGGCTACATCTTAAAGCTCTAACAGAACAGGTGCGATTATGGCTTTCTGTCACTCCAACACCGATCAGTCAACTTTGCTCTTGCTATTATAAGTTTTTATCATCTATACTTGTGATAGCAGAGCAGTTAGTCGAATCGAATGTGCACTGTGGTGTTTGGATCTCTTTACCTAAGCTAAGTTAGTTAGGAGAGAGGAGCTGGCTAGCATTAGCTTAGCTAGGAGGTTCCAGCTTCAGACACCAGAAAAGAGGTTAATTTCAGCTTTCTGTCCCTCTAACATCAGCCACTCCACTTCGCTTCCTCAGATATGAGTCACTGTCATCTAAATTTGTGTTAGTAAAGCTTTTGTCAGCAAGATGATAGCAGGTGAGCAGCGCTGGCAGCATGCTAGCTAAGCTAATGCTAACAAGCTACTCTCTTCTCTCTTGGTTTTAGATTGAAGCTTTGATGTTGATTGAATGATGGATTTAAAATCGTGCACTGCTTTATTTTTTTGAGCAAGCTGAATTTATTTGAATGCTTTCAGGTTTGAAATAGCGCAGCAGGATGCTGTGGTTCAATACAGATATAAACATAGAACCAATCAGCGAACAGCTACGCTGTTATATCATTCCACCGAATGGTTCTGTGGCCCCGAGTATGGTTAGCTAACGGTGCTAAAAAAATTAAAAAGGGCTGAGCCTGGATTTTAAACATTCCGTGTCGAACTGTGTCCATGTGGAAACGCCACTGGAATGGTTACCCTCCGTGCTCAGAACCGTTTGGTGGAAAAGAGCCCAAATATGCATCAGGATGGTGGCAGAACAGTTCACCTTGCTTGTGGCAAAAGCACAAAAGCTTATACAACAAAAAACACAACTATAAAACCATGGAGATTAAAGAAAATAGAAGGTGGACCAGGAATGACCATGAGTACCTTACAGCAACTGTATAAAATAAAAAATGGCTATACAGTTACATTCCATTCTGTTCATGCCCACAAGAACCGCAAATTATTTGCTTCCCTCACTAATGAATGCTCCTTTTTAATGAGGAGCAACAAGCAGAAGCAGATCCTCAAATAGAATGGTGTGTACACAGTGTGTGCACGTCATTTAGTTGCAATGAAAAATCATTAGTTCATCACTGCTGCCTCTCAAGGAATCCTTTTCTTCTTCCTATTTTGTGTTCAAATTGGATTGAGAACAAAATACATTTCTACCTATACATTACTGCATATACATTACTACATATATACTATGTTAATCTTTTTTTTCTATCTATTTTTTAATCTGAAAAAAAAAAAAATCATACTTGGTGTGAAAAGGCCAAACCCATTTCCTAAAAGCTAAGACACCATACACCATGTGAAGTGCCAATAAAAAAAAAATAAATAAAATCAGTAATCATACACTTTGACCTGTATGAAAACAGTACAAAAACAGGATTTGATATTTTATCATACAATTTTTTCCCCCCTCAATGTCTTTATACAAAATATGATGCCCACAACATATTCATAAAAGTTGACACAGAAGCATGTTTACCACTCTGTTACATCACCTTTCCTTTAAACAGCACTTAAACGTTTGAAAGCTGAATTTTTTGCCATTCCTCAGTTATACAAGCCTTCAGCTGTGCAATCATATGGGGCCTTCGTTGTCAAATTTTACCCTTAATAAAGTGCCATGCGCTTTTAATATGAGACAAGCAGCCTGTACAGCACCCGCACTCTCTGATTACGCAGCCATGGTGTTGTAACATGTTCAGAATGTTTCTTTCTGTTTTCATGTTGAAATAAGCTTGGATGTCCTTGCAAAAAAACAGATTCTGAAAGGCAGCATATGTTGCTCAAAAATGTGTGTGTGTGTGTGTATTTGAAAAAAAAAGTGAAAAGATACAGTAGAAGCCTGTACTAGCTTTCACTCTTATACTTACACTGGTAGTATTGTGTGATTGGGGGAGTCCCAACTACATATGTCTAAATCAGAAATGTCTAAATTGTATATATGTATATAGTTGTATGTGTACATATCAGCTTTAATGGTGCTTTCACCATTGGTATAGGGTTGTATGTGGTTATATTAGATGTGCACTATGCACCCATACCATGACACAGCCTAGCTTTGGAACTTTACACTGGTAACAATTTGGATGGTTCTTTACTACTTTGGCCCAGACACACACTGTCCATTATTTCCATAAAACATGTATTGTGGTCTGACGAGTAAACTTTTCAGATTATCTGTGCATCAGTCCATTTCAGATGAGCCCAGAGATGTCAGCAGCGTTTACTGACAATGGTTTGTTAATGTATTTCCAAGCCCAAGAGGTGATATCTATCACAGAAACACACTGTTTTTTTAATACAGTGCCATCTGATGTATCAAAGGTTATGGGCCTTCAGTTGTGGTTTTTGGCCTTGCTTTCTACGATCTTTGGCCTTGCTTTCTACGATCTTTCTGGATCTTTTGATGATATGCACCACAGAGGGTGAAATACCTAAAATCCTTGCCAACTCTCATTGAGGAATGTTGTGCTTGAACAGTTGAACTAGGTGCATTTTTTGTGGAAATGACAGGGCTCGACTCATTCTTGCTCATAAAGAACGAGGCCTTTCCTGGATCCTTTTGTATCAAAGTACAATTAGACCACCTCTTCTAAAATGTTTGAGCATTAACATTATTCTTAATCTTAAATTGCTTTTTTTGGCAAGGTGCTGCAGGCATCAATTTCAGAATGAGCGTATATTCACAAAAAAGTTGTAAAATGTTGATAATATAAAACTTCATTTAGATACAGGTCGAAGAGGATCAACTAAGCACTGCTTTCTGTCTTCATTTGCATTTCACATACTGTCCCAACTTTTTTGGAATTGGGTTTGCACAAACTTTTGAGCCTGGCAAGTCAAAGTTTTCATTGAAAATAGACTATTAGAGAGTCTCTAGTAGTAGTAGTAGTAGTATTTATCCTGTGACATTTGTAGGAACTTCTTGCAGCAACACACTCAAAATTTGAAAAAAGGATGACAAAAGCAAAAAAGGTCTTCACTTTGCATCTAAACTTACTTACATTACATTGTGATCTCCTAGCATGACCCTAAGAAAGACATTTCATTTTCATGACCCTTGAGTTTGTGTTAATTCAGACTTTTCCTGTGAACATGTCACATACAGCCACAATAATAGCCAGAAATGCGCATCATGTATTTTCAGGTGAACAAATCCAAGTGGTTTCCTGGTGGAGTATAAGGCATATACCTGCATGTCACAAAGACTACACCTCTACTTATTATTGTAAAACATTAACCATTAGTGTCTTTCTTTCAACACACAGCCTTTATTCTTTATAATATTAATTGTAGTTTCTTTCTTTCCTTGTTTTTTTACATAAACTTTAAGACGTATTTTTTGGCCTGGCAAGCACTGTATCTGCTTGAGGAAATGCAAATGTAGTTGTCTTTCTATATCCAGTTTATGACTCAGTAGCAAAAGTAGAGAGCAGCAAAGCAGCAAAACAAAAAAAAAACAAATAACTAGGTATGTCCCGAATATTCGGCAACCGAAATGATTTGGCCAAAAATGGCAAAAAAAACACTTTCAGTGTTTGGTCGAATAAGTGGAAACACCAAATAATTTATACCAAACAATGACCTTTTTAATGATGCTATTACCTTTTTCTAGTTCCCGGGAACCAGAGTGGAACTTTTACTTCTTAGCTCCAGGGCTAGAGCCAACTGCTCTAGGGTAATACCCACTTTAACCCACTTTCCACAGCAAGTCACACTGGAGCACGCTGAAGTTTCCCAGCTTTTAGTCAGTTTCAAGCATTCGAGCCAAACATAACTCCAGAAAGAGTAAAGAAAAAAACTGAGCCATTGTGTTTAACAAGCACGCATCCTCCTTAAAGAAACACAAACCCCAATTTTACAACAAGACGATAAAATCGCAACCAGCGTGGAGTGAGGTGCTCTTTGTAAATGCAGTAAACATGTTGTCTGTGTGAAAGCATTTTAAAGTGTCAGAGAATGACCCAAGAATGGCCGTTTGCAGACAGTGTTCTGCTGAATTGTAGGGGTACGTCTGCTAAGTGGGTACATCTTAACTTGTTAAGTAATATTGTCATACTGTTTTACTAATCTATTCAAGTCATATTGACATTATTCTTTTACTTTTATTGGAGGGGCAAATAAAATTTATTTTTTTGCTAATTTATTTGTCATATTGTGCTTTGTTGGTATGTCTGCTGGAATGTTAAAAATGTTCAGTGTTCAATAAATATTTTTAAATTGCAGTTTAGTAATTGTTTTTTTCTTTGAAAACAGACAATAGTATCACATATCGCAGTATGGCAGTTTCATGGAAAGTAAGGTGATGCAAACATCTTCAACATCACAGACAACATTTTGTATGTGCACATATGTAAAGTCAACAAAAGAATGTACTCACTTTTGTATTCAATTCTGGAAATCTTTAAGAACATCTTCAAATGCTCTTCAGACGTTTCATCTCTGAAACGGATGTTATCCTGAGAAGGGAACATAAGAGCATATTAGCTTTTGAAGTGTTTGTTACACTTTTATTTGAACCAGTAGTCCAGGCAGAGGCAGTAAAATTACCACTGCATTCAAACTTCTCCCAGGCTACACACATTGAGTGTTCATGGTTCTGCACAGAACCATTTTCTTTACTTTTCTTTACTAAAGAACCATAGTTTTTAAGTGTGTAGTGGTATCTGCTGTTCTCACTAAAACTCTTACCATCTCTCTGTTTCAGTGTTCTGCTTTAGTGTGGCAAAAATAGTCTCAAAGTTTAGAATTATTGCAGTATAGAGAAGTAAGACAAGTTTTGAAGTCATCTCTACAGAGACAAAGATACAAGAGCAGAATGTGAAGAAGGCAGTGAACTGTAGCATGTGCTCTTCACACAGAGTTAGCCGCACACATACTCTACTCTTTACACACATTTAGCCATACGCATACTCTGAGGAGGATAGGGTTGTGGTACAATATGTCCCCATTTTGTGAAAACTTTGAAAAGCTTGAAAGAACAATTAACAGCAGCCACAGGATGCAAAGACATGCAGATCATTTAAAGCCTGCATTTCATTGAAAATAGTACAAAGGCAATATATCAAATGTTGAAACTGAGCAATCCTATAACTTTTGAAAAATTTTGAATCTAATGCCAGCAACACGTTTGAAAAAAAGTTGAGATGGGGCAACAAATGACTAGTAAAGTTGTGTAATGTCAGTAACATGATTCAGTATAAAGAGCATCCCAGGAAGGCTGTGTCTTTTAGAAGTAAATATAGAGAGGGGTTCACCACTCTAAAACTCTACCATTCAAAGAAGAAACCATATATAAACAGGATCCAGAAATGCTGCTGCCTTCTCTGGGCCCAAGCTCATTTAAGATGGACTGAAACAAAGTGGAAAGGTGTCCGTTGGTCGAATCAAAATTTGAAAATTTTTTTTGGAAATCATGGATGATGCGTCCTCTGGGCTAAAGAGGAGAGGGATTATCTAGTTTATAGTTCACTGAGCAGGCCCATTCTCATCTTCCACTGGCTCAGGCTTGTAGCATTGGCGGGCACAATGTCCCTTTTATCCACACCACCAACACACTACCCATGCTGCCGTTGCTCACTTGGCGTCTGTTTCACATGCCGACACCTCCCCCCAGAGTCTTCTGCTACATAGCACTGTGTTACTTGCTTTGTTTCCCCGTCATTGAGGTTGAGCTCTGCTGTTTTGGCTTCAGCGACAGCTGCTTCGAGGCTAGTCAGTTTGATGAGCCGTATGTGTCGCCTTAGCTCCTCTGGCAGCAGTGTGTTCAAGAAATGCTCCAACACCAACACCTCCTGCACTACTTTTTTGAACGTGGGGTAAGCCTGCTAATCATTGTGGTCAGCTTTGCCACCAGCACGTTTATCTGTTCCCCTTTCCGCCTTCGCCTATTGGAAAGTGGTTTTCTAACAGACAGTGCTGCTGGTACTTGTCCAAACCGCTGCTGGTGTGCCGTGGTCAGCACCAAGAGAGTACAATGCGACTACACTGGCAAATCCACAAGCACCTAACGTGCTTGTCCCTTGTAAAGCAAAGCTGAATCTCGGTGTCCCCAGCCGTCCAGCCGTAATGTTGGGCGACCATCCACATGGTAGTCGAATATGCGCTGGCTCTACTCAGCCATGCCCTGGCTTGATGCCGCTCTGCTTCTCTTTCTGCCATCGTGCCATCCTGTCCGCCACCGCCCACTTTCACGCCAGTTTCACCTCCACTTGTTTTGCTTCTTCTTTGCCATCCACCATGGTGTCCTTCTGCTCAAGTTCACTAGCAAGATCCCACTTCGTCACACCAGCATGGCGCCATGCAGAAGAAGAGTCAGTAGAGGCCATAATTTCTGCTTTTTAGGAAAATATGCACACTGCATCTTAAAAGTCCCTCTCTCTCTGAACATAGCATATGGAAGCCACCACAATATTCAACGTTTTACCTTATTCACTTCATTGTTTATGTAAACATAGACTCATTCTAAAATTGATTCCAGAAACACTCCAAAACAGTTGCAACAGGGGTAATTGTTTTTTCAAAAAACATCTTAAACTGGTGATACAATCATGTAGGAAAGGTCTTGCCTCAACTGCTGCAGGTTCATTTCTATACAGCCACTACAGAGTGCGTCATCACCACTTTCCTCACAGTATGGTGCAGCTCTGACACCAAGCATTTACAAACTGCAGCGCATAACCAGATCTGCTAAAAATGTAAAAACCAAGCTGCAGAGTTTTGTTCTTCACACCATTACATTTCTAGACAATTGCTGCGCATAAGCAACAAGAAAATTAATAGGCCTGTATCGTCGCATTAGGCTTACTAAGTTTAACTGTGGCTAGCCTACTGTTAGCCTACTGCTTGCAGCACAAAGTCGACTAACACAAGCTTGTTTTATACCATATGCTGCTGTGCTGTACATGTGCTGACGATTATGTTTTCACACACAAATACTGACCTCTAGTGAAAAATGAGCATACATTCTGTGGCTTGCAGTTGCAACAATAAAAATAAATAGATAAAATAAAATAAAATAAAAAAAGAAAGGTCAAAATCAGTGTGTTAAATATAAATATTTTATCATATTTCCTTCTTTTTTATTTTATTTTCATTTATTCTATTTAGTATTGCTACCTCCTATATGGCTGAGGTACTCCACACTTTAAATACTGTTTTACTTACACGTGTGTCTACAGGAATGGATGTTTGCCTGTGTGTGTGTGTGTGTGTGTGTGTGTGTGTGTGTGTGTGTGTGAGAGAGAGAGAGACAGTGTGTATGCATGGTAGAACTCAGGTATGGATGTCTGCTATGTCAGTGTGAAACCTCTATTGTCAGTTACTGTGTAACCATTAGCTACTGTTTCACCAAAGACAAATTCCTTTTATGTGCAAACATACTTGGCCTGATTCTGATTTTGATAAATCATTCATTACAACTTTTAATCCTGCTCAGCTGATTTTATACAGACAGTTGACAAATTAAAGAAAAAAATCCACTAGCATAACCACACCCTCCGACCCGGCATTCATAAGGTCCCGGCAGAATATATGAGTGGTGTGGAGTGAGAGCAGAGCAGTGTGATTTTGCCCAGAGCTTTTTAGAAAGTGCCAGCGTTCTCTCACACTCTGAAAACACTTCAACACAGCTCCAACCCACAAGCCAGTCATTTTTTTTCAACACAGACTACCTCTTAGTGACATGAGTGATACAGCACCAAGACTTTGCACAAAGCAGCATTCATACACAGCATTTGTGCTGTGGAACTGCTCAGGAGACCTATGCCAGAAATTCTCACAGATCGCTACAAAGTTCTACAGATATTACACACAATTAGTCTCGTCATCCATTTTGCTGCACAAATTAACAACAGCAAAGAAGCCAAGAACCTTTTCAGAACTTTTTTTTTTTAATCTGTGGGAACAGACCAGTTTACAACAACCCCAGAGAGCTGTTCAACTTCAAGAGCCAGTAGTGGCATGATCAGTGAGAGCACGAGGGCATTTTAAAATAGAAAGCGGAAGTATGTCACTTATGCACCGCTGTGCTGCCATTTGCAGAGTGCTTGTGTTTGCAATGTGGCCTTTTATATCACATAAGCAATGATGGAATGGACGTGTAGTTTCAGCACTTACATCTATGAGTCAATTTACAGAAAAAAATCCAACCTTCAACAAATCTGTTAATCTGTTCTCTCCTTTTGTTTGTTGCAAGCTGCAAGCCACAAAATGTACTCTCATTTTCACTACTGGTGTGTGAAAATGTAACCATTAGCACGCTTCTGGAATAAAACAAGCTTGTGTTAGTCGAGTTTGTGCTGTAAGCAGTAGACTAACAGTAGGCTAGGCACAGTTAAACTAAGTAAGCCTAATTCAAAGATATAGGCCTATTTACTTCTAATGTTCAAATGTTAAACGGGCTGCAGCCAGAGGCATTTCTGGTTTGTACAGGAAACACCACCCCTCAACAAAAACACCCTCAACAGAAATGCTTTGCATTGTTGTGAGAGCATATGTTGAGGGAATCTAACACTGAAAAACACTTTACTCTTGTAATTCAATAATTCTACAACCAAAGTTAACTTGAAATTTCTTAGTGGAACATATTTGATGTCAGAAACATATTTGCCTCCACTTATGGCTGACTTTGGAAATAGTCACTAAAACACAACCCAAGTGAACTGCAACTTCAGTTTTAGTACATAACAATGACTGCCAAATTCCAAAAGAGAGGGAATGTCTTGTAGCCAGATAGCTAAGGTACTAGTTACTGTTTAAGGCTTATACCTTATTTTAAATATTGATAGTGTATCATTCAGCAAAATGTTATGATAGCTAGCTAACTTGCACTTCAAGCTACACAACCAAAGTAAGTTAGCTGTTCTACATTGCAGATACATACATAACTGATGAAGAAACATTTGCACATTATATATTGTAATCAAAATAAGCTGCCTGACAGACATTTCATAAAGAAAATAACCTTTGTGGCACTCCATATGTTTCTATAAGGCTTTTCTATAAAGTTTGTCATTAAATTTTTAGTTGGCATTTAAGTGAAATCTGTTTAGAAATAAAAAGTGCAGAATTATTATTATAGGAATGGATGTTTGCCTGTGTGTGTGTGTGTGTGTGTGTGTGTGTGAGAGAGAGAGAGACAGTGTGTATGCATGGTAGAACTCAGGTATGGATGTCTGCTATGTCAGTGTGAAACCTCTATTGTCAGTTACTGTGTAACCATTAGCTACTGTTTCACCAAAGACAAATTCCTTTTATGTGCAAACATACTTGGCCTGATTCTGATTTTGATAAATCATTCATTACAACTTTTAATCCTGCTCAGCTGATTTTATACAGACAGTTGACAAATTAAAGAAAAAAATCCACTAGCATAACCACACCCTCCGACCCGGCATTCATAAGGTCCCGGCAGAATATATGAGTGGTGTGGAGTGAGAGCAGAGCAGTGTGATTTTGC